TACCTTGCTAAGCCAGTAGTAAGACTGGTAAAGGGGCAAGGTTGAGTATGAGGTTAGCAACCTCCATCCTGTAAAAAGTAAATACCACTGCCACCGAAACTTCAAAGCTCTAGCTTGAAGGTGCACTGGGAATGTATAGGAATGAAAATGAAAAACATTAATAAATAGTTCCTCTGAAAGCAAAGCAAAGAAGGACAACAATTAAACCATCCGGCTTTGATAGTAATCAGAATTCAGTTATCCGGTGGTGGCCTACAACCTATTCAATTTTTGTGAGACAATTGATCACACTACCCAAACAGGATAAGATTCGAATGCTCAGCCTATCTGTCAGAATCTGAGTGTTAAAGCTAATGAATAAAGTTAAAGAATTGTGACCAACGACCTTCCAAAGACTGGTCGCTTAACTCTGACTTTACTTTAAACTAACTCGATATCCTGTCTCTAATACTCTAATAGTTCTTTCATTTTGTTTTTGTGAATGTAGTGTTGTTTGACTTGTTGAATTAACCTCTAGTGCTTGTGCGTTCCAACGTCATTGGTCTGTTCATTCCCATCCTCGCCCCCATGGGTTGCTATTCTTTAACTTGGTTATCAATGAATAATACATCTTCACGAAGCAACATCCGCTGGCCATTCGACCAGCTTAGGGAACACACGTACCCAAGCGATAAGTATATCTTCCCCACCTTTTCTAAATAAGGAACTAACTGATTGTTAAATAAAATCTGTGCTTTTGTCAGTTCTTGTCAAATTTTACCTGGAGAGATGAAAGCATATTCCCTTTTCATTTAACTACAGGCGAAAATTAATTAATTTTAACTGATTGTGACAAACGGTTTATACTGACTGCCTCAAACCATCTAATACAAGCAATTCATAATGCAAGGTGATGTCGAGCCATCTAACATGGTGGCCACATTGCCAACTTGACTAACTGATATAACTCAGTCTGCACCAAACAAACGTTACAGTAGTTACTGACTAGTGTCCAATCAAAAATATCCAATACAGTATTGAAGGAGGTCAGTGGCAAGCCAACAGAGCTCAGTGGTAAGGTGTCTGGCTTCAGGCAGCAATGGGTGACGCAGGTTCGAATCTCGGAGGGAACACGAATTCCTTGAAGATTGCAGATATTCCTTGATAACTGGTGAGTGCCGACTAGCACGAAACCTAGGTCTAGTGAAGTCTTCCTGTGGCCGATTGCCTCCAACTATCTAATACCAACAGTTCAGAAAACAGAAAGGGAATAATGTCTAAGGTGGTGCACTTGTCATGTAGATATGACATTTTACTTATCCATCTAAAGGTGTGTCTGTGTGTGTAAATATTGCCACCCATCATAATTCACTTGATATAAAACACTCATCATCTCTAATAGGTCAGAAATGCTATCAAGTGGTTCTATTCAATGAAAACGATCAAGTTTTTCACGTTTGAAATCTTAATCTTAAGTTGAAAATCTACTTCACATAAGAAACAAGATGAGAATTTGCAACACTAACGTCTTGTCACTGCTTCTGTATGCTTCAGAGACTTTGCGAGTACGTCAAAAAACCCATTGCAAACAGGCTATTGCAGATTTTTATTAACGCCTTTCCACTTCACTCGAGACTGAAGATTAGATGGCCAGACAGAAAGGGTAAGTAACAGGGAACTCTGGTGATGCACCAATTAACAACATATCGCCTTACCAACAAACATGCAGAAGAAAATGGAGATAGATCGAACATAAGCTGAGGAGGTCGATGAGTGAGTGGAAACCGAAGGGAAAACGAGGACTTTGGCGAATGAGGTTGATATGGAAGAGATCGTGTCAGGAGGAAATGAAAGCTTATTGGCAATCTTGGAGCAAGTCACAAAGGAATTCAGAGATCAGGATCAAATGGAGATGTGCTAGTGAAGCTCAATGTTTCATTCGGAGACCAGATGCAATCAGTTAAGTAGACTTATCTATACTTTGTGAGGTTAGGACAGATTATAGATAACAGGTATTCAAGCATCTAATCTGAATCATACGAAATTATAAAACTCTTGATTGTATTTCAACTTATTTTGGATGCTAATATTTTTCCTTTTATTATTACTTTTAATCACATTAACATACATATAAGTAATACATACATATATACGTAATTTTCATCTCCTAGTGGCAAACAGGGCTTCAAAGACACAGTCCTGTTCATCCAGATCCATGATTTCCCATTAGCTCTAATTTCCTCCTCATTACACGATCTCCTCCACTTCACCATCCAAGTGACGACACACTCGTCGTTTCCAATTCGGATGATTCCATTCGAGCAATGACCTGGCGATGGCGCAATGTCATTTGACGGCCTCCTCAGTGACGTGTGCCCAATTCATCTTCATTTTCTCCTACATCTTCGTTGAGCAATTCGCTCTTGACTGGTTTGTTATCAGAGTTTCTTGTTGCTAATTTTCTCTGGCCTTCTGGCAATTCGCTCTTCAGTATGGGGGTAGTGAAGTGGGCAGCTGTTGATAAAAGTCTACAGTGACATTGTTGGAAATGCTTTTTGTGATGCCTTAGCCAAGTTTGTGACCTATAGAGGAGGATTGATAATATCACATATCATTATTTACTAGATGACTGAGTTCCGAGCATAGTTTATTGTTGATGACCACATCATCGATTGTAACTACCTAACTACGAGACTAAATTTTTATAGTTCTCGTTATGCCTTCACATTCCCCACAAGATTAGTCAAATTATCCAGATTTATGGGACAGATACTGAATTATTTCTGTCGCAAGTAATCTAAGTTAACTAGGTATTTGAGATGTAAGTATAAGACTTGGGCACTGTGGCTGTAGATTATAACTCCATTATCGATAAGATTTTATTTTAATAAATCACACAGTGTTTGTTATACAGTAATATTTACTGATGACCACGTTTCCAGCACAAATTGTGTCCGCTCATAACCATATCAAGGTAGTGACATAACTTTCTTGCTATATATATATATATATATATATATATATATATATACATGATGAAATGAAACAGATAGAAGTAGAGAAAGCGTTGGTGTTAAATAATTATCCTATAAAATTCATCAAGAATATCAAAAAAGGTCAAAAGAGTAATAAAAATAATGGTGAAACTAATAATGGTAAGAAAAATAAAAGAGAATATAAGGCATCTACAGTTATATTATATAATAAGGGGACATCCCAGACACTTCGCAGTAGGATTTCTAATAAAGCAGGAATTACGGTGACATTCAAACTTACAAACTCACTGAGATAGGACAAGCTGTGTAGGTTAAAAGATCCTGTGGGTTGACCCAATGAGACAAAATAATATAATTTACAAACTACCTTGCAATGACTGTGAGTTAAGTCAACCAACTACATAGGTCAAACTAGTAGATCGGGCGCCGGTAGACAGATTGTCGGAACATAAGAATTTAGCTTAGGTAAGAATACTTAACCCCGAGAAGATAAGTAATTTAGAAAGAGGAACTCAGCAATCGCACTGCATGCATTAACACACACAACTACACAATAGGATGGGTGGGAGAGGGTTACAATTCTAAGAAGTAATAAAGGTAGGTGGTGATTTATCAAAATAAATTCTTATTCATAATAGATAGGTGAGGCTTCAGCTGTCAACCCCTCCCTCAAAATGTACTCTTTTACAAAACGAAAAAATGAGTCTTAAAATCTAATATAAGAATACATTGTGAAAAGTTGATACCTGAATCTTCCAAATCGGATGAACTGAGAATATATGCAATAGGAATGATTAACATCAGTTTACAACTTCCGGAAAATTCTGACACCCTGACTATAAATGAGACGGAACAAAATATTATGAAAATCAAGTTTCAAAGTCGTGAATGGATGAGAAATTATAGTCAATTGTGGAGCTAGCCAGTTGATGAGGACAGCAGAAAGTAGAGCAGAGTGGAGATGTCTTGTTGAAGACTTTTGTTCCACTCGGAACCCAAGGGAATAATAATAATAACATCATTTAAATGACGCGTGTAATACGCAGCAATTCACTCTGTCCTTCTTTATAACTGTGAGTCATGTCTATTTAAAGTGGAAGATATGTAAAGGCTGGCTGTCTTTGATCACAGATGTTTGCCTTCTATCTACGGTGTTAAGTAGTATAATCTGATAAGTAACATTAGGGTTGGGCGTAGAGTGTTAAGTAAGACAGGGAAGTCTACCGATCACATTGTGAAGCTGCATGGACTGAGATGGTTAGGACACGTGTTACGCATCCCAAGTCACCGTTCTATATCAACTAGGTCCTCATGTTTCCCAATGTAATTATTCGTTCTCCTGTACATTCGCGTTCATTATATTTCTTTTGAATTTTTCTTGTCTTCATTTGTGTGGTGGTGCACTTCTCTACGAACTCCTAAGTTGAAGCTCAATCAACTTACATTTGAGAAATAAGGAGTGGAAGAGGAAATTCTTCTATGAGAATAGTATCATTGTCATCCAACACGGGTTCTATAGATTATTGTCATCGGTGTACACACTCAGAGAAGATATTCTCCAGGGAAAAGATAGAGATGAAATATTTTCAAGCATTGGTTTTGTAGGCAGGTAGTTTGATTGCTTGGATGATTTTATCGTCAGCTGACATCAGTCATCTGAGGTTCTAGTGGAAAGCCGTGACAAGTTGAATACAGCAAGTTGAAGATGAAGACAGTAACTCATCGAAGAAGACATTGCGAAGTGGTCATGCTATGTCGTGAATTGACAGAAGTTAGAATTGATAGACTGGCCATTGAAGAGTTGGATCCCAGTGGCTGATGAATAGTCTACGAGCTAACTCGCCTTGCAACCAGAAAGTTTTGAGTTCCAATAATTATAATAGCATAACAATAAGTCAGGTCACACAGTTGAATTACTTCTGACTAGTGTGTTATATGCAAGACTGGGGAACAGCGGCATATTTTTTTGGTTTATCAAGATAATACATTGTAAATCAGTGCGTATTTTTCTTTTTCTTTACACAGCCACCTTTATTCAAAATGAAATTATCAATAATTTAGGCAGAATTCCTCTCTAACTGAATGCTTCTCATCAAATGGATGATAATATTACACAAGTTAATTCTACAAATTTTACGATTGATCTAATCTTTGTCAATGATACAACAGAGACATTGATGACAAGTAAGCTGCAGTATAATACCTCACCGATGATATCAACTGCTCAGCGTAGTATAATTCAGCATTATAAAGACAATCATAGCAGAAGTCTAATTAAATCAAATCAATCCTTGGTCAAGGGTATCCGTAACGCTCTCGATCAACCGTTGGCTGGTTTAATTGTGATCGGTTCATTATTTTTTATAATTAGTCTACTATTGGCTTTAATTGTATTTATATTCTATAAAAAGCGTAACACAGTATTTGTATATGAAAAAAGTCAACACAATGGATTGTATTCATCTGCTCAAGACAGATCAATAGTGATTGGTCAGACGAAACAAGCCCGACAGATACATAAACACACGATGATTACAGATGGGAATAATTCAGTTGACAGTTCAAATGACGAGGATGATTACGACGATGAGGAGGACACTGAAATCGAGTATAATTTGAGTCTATTCAATGAAAATGGTGATGACAATGGCGGTGGTGGTGGCGGTGAGAATCATATGAGTGGGAACGAAATTGAATTAAAAAGTCATAATGTGAAAGCCTCCTATGTAGTAAGACCAAAGTATGAAATTTTACAAAATCCTCAGTGCATACTAAAATTATCAGACAACATGCAGAATTCTTTGCGTGTAAATGATGGCATCAAAAATTATGGAGAATTATCAGTAGAAAATATACACAAAGTAAAGTTGATTTTCTGCGTAATTTTTATTCATGATTTATGCTAACAACTCGAATTAATCGATATTTGTTAGAGAACCACTGGAAAAGAAGCTGTTAGTACTGCACAACAGTTTCGTCAGCCTAGTTTAGGACTCTTCAGATGTATGCACCCACCGGGGTTCGAACCCGGGATCTTCTGGTTATAAGGCGCACTGATGAAGAGTCCGAAACTAGGACGAAACAGCTGTCCAGTACTCCCAGCTAGTTTTCCAATGGCTCTCTAACTGATGTCAGCTCATGATGAAATCCTCCATCCAATCAAACAAACAATAATCCCTACAATACCAATACTTGAAAATAAATCGATATCTGTTTATAGTGTACATTTATTTGCCGCTATGAATGATTTCATGAATGCATCGGTGGCTCAGTGGTAGAATGCTAGCCATCTATGTCACACGTGATCCAGATCCTACCCCAAGCTATCGTGCTTCTCAACATTGTCTAGTTTACTCCTCCTTTTCATTTCTTGTATTACAAGTGAAACGTAAGGCTTCATACGCTGAATTTTCAGTATCAGTGGTGTTTGCCTCTAGGGTTTGGGATTTTTGGTCTCACGCTCGATTTTGCTTCTTTACCGGACTTATTGTCAGCTAGTGAAACTAAGCAGGGTTTAGGAAAAAGTCAGCCATGAATGAAACCTGGATCATGTGAATGGTCAGTGAACATTCCGCCAGTGAACCACTAATGCCCAGATTAAGACTACCAATAAACTGCATCCAATAAAGACGCTACCATCGTTAATGAAACATCGATGTTTAGAGCTTTAGGTCCTACATGTTCCACTCGGAAGGCAAGGAATGAAAGAATAAATGACTCGACAGTTTCGAAAGTTCCACCGGTATATTATACACGTGAAAACCAAAAGCGAATGTTTGTCCTATTAATATACATGTAAGACTTGGGCACTGTGGTAGTAAGTAACTCCATATTGGTTTGTTTATAAGATGTATCACACACTGAGTGAAACAGTATTATTTACTGGATGACAAGGTTTCAAACACGATTCATTATTGATTATAATCACATAAATTATAAACACATGACCTGTTATCAATTTCTCCCTCCACCCTGTTACATTAGATTTTAAAACTGTCATCTTATCCCATCCCAGCCTATTGTATGGTTGTGTGCAATTGCATGTAGTGCTATAGCTGAACTATTCTCCAGATATCCTATCTTATTTGGGTCAAGTAATCTAGATTTTGCTATGTTTTTCTGTTCGGCTAGTCTGACTGCCCCTGTTCTACTAGTTCGACCTATGTATTTGACCTGACAATCATTGCAGGCAGGGTATTAGAAGAACTAAATTGTTTTGATTTAAAGGTCTCACAGGATTGATCCTTTAACCGACAAAGCTTTTCTCATTGAGTTTGTGGGTTTGAATGCCACTTATATTCGTGCCTTGTGAAAATTCCGCGTTGGGTTTCCGAGACTGCTTTTTTGTATGGAATTACTACTGATGATTTAGATTCCTCATTGTTGGTGTTGTCATTATCTTGCGCATGTTTGACATGCATGTCGTCATTAATATTACTATTATTATTATCATTGTTATTATTATTATTATTATCACTATCACTACTGTCATCATTTATTTTATTTTTACATTTCCCTACATACTTTCTGATTAATTTATCAGGGTATATTAAGTTTCAAAGTTTCTATTATATGTCCCACTTGCTGTCTTAGATTTTCCTTGGTACTACTTAGTTTTTGTGCTCTATTATTTAAAAATTTCTATTACCCCTACGACAAATAGGAGAGAACAAAGAAAACTATAAAACTCAAGTTTCGAAGTTGTGTAATTATAATTGATGAATGATTATGAACAACAACAAATTGTGTTCGAAACGTCATCCAGTAAATAATACTGTTTCACTCAGTGTGCGATACATCTAATAAACAAACTAATATGGAATGTTGGTCCTCTTTTCATATTAGAAAGCTAGATATATCTGCTGTTCAGTAAAAACAATGGAGTTCAAACTGAACCAACGCATGATGCTTTAAAGAGCAGATAAAAGGCGATACTTGGTGCAGAGGAGGTGACTGTCGTAATTTCTCAGCTTAGTGGATAATAGCCTTAATTTGTGCTTTTGGATATTACTATGGAATATCAGACAAGTCATTGGCATATATTTCATAGTATTATTAATGAAACTTTCAGAATGGTAGTCAACGAAGTAGACACATATACGATGCTAAGAGTTACAGCTGAATTATTGCGTCCTAGGCCTGATGATATTTTAGGTTGCTTTGGCTGAATTCAGTGAAGCAGAACTCAAAAAGCTAAGCGCTTAGGCTAGTGAACTACCTCCTCACAAGTCAATGTTCAGAACCTCTCATATTATGATCATATGATTGTTTTGCGTGAACCACTGAAAGGTTAGTATGCACGATAGTACACAGTGTTTCATTGGAATTTGTAAGTAGTATGACTATGCTATGCAGAGAAATCTCTTCATATTTGTTGGAGGGAAAATTCTTGGTTGGTTCATTGAGTGTCAGAGTTCCTAATTTTTGATTGAATACTAGTCAGTAACTAGTGCAATGTGTCTAGTCTTGTGTTTATTCAATGCAGACTGAATTCTATCAGTCAGGTGTGCATTGTGGCCATCATGCTAGATGGCTCGCCACCATGGTGCACTTTGAATTGTTGAAGGCAAACTTGACTGCATCAAACCAACAACTAGACAAGTTACACTAGCTAATGAATAGTGTCCAATCAAAATTATCCAATACACTCCTCAAGGAGGGTCAATCGCGATCCAGAATAGCTTAGTAGTAACGTCTCTGACTGCAGGCAGCATTGTGTGACTCAGGTTTGAATCTCAGAAGGGCTATGAGTCTCTTCAAGGTCGCAGATACGCTTTGCTGACTGGTGACTGCCAACTAGCACGACACCTAGGTCTAGTCAAGTCTTCCTATGGCCGATTGCCTCCAACCATCTAGTACCAAGAGTTCCTAATTTCTTATTCCTTTTGATCGGCCAATTGGTCTTTAATATAGTACAAAAGCATGGTTGGTGAAGCTTCTAAAGCCTACTGTATCATAGAATAATAAACTTTTTGAAAACGGTATTATTTATGCTTTCCTTTTAAAAAAACACACCTTTTTTATCTCTTTTTATCCAGACGATTCGGCATCAATTAAAACATCATGAAAATCATTTGTTTGTGTATAATGGTCAGGTTATTAGAAATCCAAGATTTGTATTGTGCCCTAAACATGCACATCTACTGAACAGTCAAAACAAATCGGTCAGACCAAATGAAGAAAAACGTCAACATACTTCAACAAATTAAGATGTTGACTGAGTCGAAAATGGAGACAAACGAGCTGTTCAATAAAAAAATTATACATATACTGGAATATCTACTGATAAGCAGTAGTAGCAGAAGAGTAATAAAATAATGTTTTTACGTTTTCTAATGTACTCATCGACCCAGAATGCATTTGTGTGAATATATAATAAATTCTCTTTTGTATGCTACTTATTTTGATTTGAGTAACGCATTTTTTTCTACATAAAAAGTATTGCTAGATGTAATCAAGTATTATTTAGATATAATAGAGAAGATTTGTAGCTCAGGTGGATGATTTTGGTGTGGTTGTGTTCTCTGAGCTGGATGGTTGGTTGCGAAGCTTTCATTGCTCTACTGAGCAACATCTTCAGCGCATACTTCGATGTGAAGTGAGCTTTTAGAATTCTCTATGAGTTTATTAGTCATCTCTTCTAGTAACCTTGAACGTGAAGCAGCCAGCACCGAGACAAGCAAACTAGGGGATGAAATGTCACACGAAAACAACCAATCACGTTCAAGGTTACTAGAAGAGATGACTAATAAACTCATAGAGAATTCTAAAAGCTCACTTCACATCGAAGTATGCGCTGAAGATGTTGCTCAGTAGAGCAATGAAAGCTTCGCAACCAAACCATCCAGCTCAGAGAACACAACCACACCAAAAAGTAATCAAGTATTATTATTATTCCCATGGGTTCCAACTGCAACATAAGGTTACAACAACACATCTCCACTTTATTCTGTTTTGGCTCTTCTTCAGCCGAATCCAAGATTTTTTAAAATAATGAATACTGAACAAAGAGTACTCTTTTCGATAACGTCATCATCAGGCTCTACAGTTATATATACACATAATAGTGAATGAATCAATTAGTGTTATGAACAACATTAATGCTGTTTGAATAACATCGAATCAATAATATCAGTAGATTACAGTTCAATAGCATCAACATAAAAATAAACTGAATGTCAGAAAAACTAGGAAAGATAATATTACAAATTCATGAATTTCTAGTCTCTACTGAAGGTCGGTCAGGGCAGTAGTAGTGGCTGGACTTGTTTCTTTTGGACACAAAGCACTGGTTGTTTCACGCTTACTGCAATAGCCTCTGCTGTTTGAAGCATGCGGTGCTTCGATGTTTTCGGCAATTTATTAGGCACTCCTTATTTAAAGATCATTTATCGACAGGTAGATCACGTTTTCGAGTCAATTTATTGGGCACCCGGTAGATGATAGAGAAGGATTCTTCAACGCTGGCTTTGTGGCCGGCCGGTTTGGACCAGGTGGTCTAATATCGAACTGTTGATGGTTTTTACTGCACCTTTACTTAGCCATACTGGGAGATGTTCTCGAGCACGAGAAATCAAGTTCCTAGAGCAACGGCCAATATAACTCGCTCCACTACAAGCGCAGTTGAATTGGTAGATACAAGTAGAAGTGGCTAGTCTAGGTACTTCATCTTTCAGTCGAGGAATCACCATCGATGGTGTAGAGAATAAGACGTGAAGTTCGTCAGCATTAAAAGTTCTTTGAACTGATTTTCTTAATTTCCTCGGAATTATCTCACTTGGTATATCGTCCTTGAAATGCAGTCGTATATAAAGTGGCTTCTTGTTTACAGATAGTGAGTAGTCCTTTTCCGCTTTCTTTGTCATGTGTTTCTTGATAAATTTTTCGGGATAGCTATTTTCGATCAAAGTATCATATATACAATGCTTAATTCATCTTCAATTACTTCTTCTGAGCATATAGCTCTAACTCTGTGGTTGAGGGTCTTTACTAAATTTTTTTTTGTACTTGAGTGGAACGAAGCTGTGAAAATGTGTATATTGTCCTGTCCATGTACTTTTTCTATGCAAGTTTCTTTTTATGCTACCATCTGGTTTTCTTGTAACTAGTACATCCAGGAAGTCAATTCTGTCCGTATAATCTCTCATGTCTTCCCCGTCATACGATAGCCTTCATGACACCCTCAAAGTGACAATCCAGTCGTCGCCTCACATTGGGATTCCACTCGAGAGATGGCCTGAATTGTGCGCGATGTCATTCTCCTCAGTGACGTGTGACCAGTACATCTCCATTTTCTTGAAGATATTTGTTGAGCAATCAGCTCTTGGTTGGTTTTCCCACGGGCAGAGTTTATTTTTGCTAATTCTCTCTGGCCATCTGGCCATTTGATCTTCAGCACTCAGTCAGAGAAAGCAGCTGTTGACAAAAGTCTGTAACTTGTTGGAAATGCTTTTCTTGATGCGCCATGTTTTCGACCCGTATAGAAGAACTGACTGACGTGATATTTGTGTTTAAGTCCGAAACTTGTTCTTGATGCACTTATTTTGCTTTTGACCTTTTCTGATCTTACTAATGAATTTTATAGGATAGTTATTTAACAACAACGCCTCTTCTATCTGTTTCATTCCATCGTTTAGGTTTTTTTTTGTTGTACTACTTAGTGATGTTATTGCTCGGTTTGTTAGACAGCTAACTAAGCCTGCCTTAACAGTTAACGGATGAGATTAATTAAAGTCTAAATATCTATTAGAATGCGTTGGCCTTTTATAAACTCTAGTGTGCAGTTTACCCTCCGTTGATTTTATTTTACAATCTAACATGCCTTATTCTCCTTGCTCATTTTCCACCCCAAATGTGGATTTTATTCCCTTTAGTAGTGAGTTTATGTGTGTGAAGAAGCTAGAGATATGTTCTGTTTATAACACTGTGAGTGAAAGTGTCATCCACATAGATCCACCATATTTTTGGAGTAGGATTAAAAGTTGTGTTAAGAGTAATATTTTCCTAGCTGTCCATAAAGATATCTGCTACGATAGGGGATATTGGTGATCCCATTGCTACACCGTCTGTTTGTCTATATATTTTGCCTTGGAATTTAAAGACAGTAGATGTGAAGCGTAAGTGAATTCCTTAAATAATTTCCTTAATGTGTAGCTTCGTCCTATGAGTGAGTTCAGGGTCTGCAGTTAGTTCTTTTTTAACTGCTTGTAAGGCCATATTGATTGACTGATATATTAGTATAAAGACTAGTTATATCAGGAATAACCATTTTTTTCATTCTTCTCTAATTGAATGTCATTTAGGTTCTTTTTCATTTTGCATGAATTAGTTAGCCTAGAGTTTGAATAATTTTTTATGGGACATAATATTGGAGCTAAGTGTTTTGATAATTCATAGGTAGGCGTGTTTCTGAAATCTACTATTCGTCTTATAAGGTAATCTGACTTATGTATTTTAATACATTATATATTCTACTAGCATTATCAGTTTTAGGCATAAAAAATTAAACCATTTATGCCCAATAGCCGGTTAAAAGTCCGAAAAAAAAGACAGATTGGGTGTAAGGCGAACAATCCTACTCTCTGAGGACAAAACCACCACTATTGGAACTTCAAGACTTCAAATGAAGTTCCATATTTTCACTCAGAAGACAAAGGATGAATAGAACATACATACATTTCTCTTTTCGTTAACAAGTTATTGCGCGTTGAGATAAGAATAGGAGGAAAACTTGACTGAAATTTTCTTGTTATTGTCTGTTTTCTTAACTATCCATCTCCAGAGAAACAGAAAAAAAAATAATGAAGCCATTTGGTCATTTAAAAATAGTATACTGTGCGGTAATACTGTACTGCTCAATCCACACAATATATAAACACATATTTTAACGATTTCTTATGAAGCTAATCTCATTTCTTTCTCACCTTATCGTCTTTTTCACTTATTATTATTATTATTGTTATTATTATTACATCTTCTGATAATGAATGCATTAACTGTCAGTGTGTGTGTGTGCATGTGAACAACAGAAAATGCGATTTCTGTAATGTATATAAGATGAATACCAGGACCAATAAACCATAATTACCGCCAATGAAAATCAATCATCTCCAAAACACTTTTCTGTCGGTTAATAAAGATAAACAAGCCGAAATACATTATTGAACATTAAGCAGAAAAGTAATCAAGGCAGAAGTTTGTTGTTTTAGCATTTCTCTCTTCTCAGGCAGTCTCTCACTCTCATACTCAATTTCTCTCACGAGTACACACTCACAATGTTAGATAATAAATTATAAGGTATGCGTTAACTTATGCCCTAGAGGAGGAGGAAGATGGATTGATGATAAACCAGGTTGTTTCGTTTCCTTTTAGAATAAGAAATAAACGAAAACGATAGAAGAAGAATGAGAAACTAGAACGGGAAAGTAGGAGAGAACCTCACCACCAACACCACCACCATCAACAACAACAGAAGCTGCCACAACAACAAAAACAACAATAAGGAAATCGGATAAGTAGAAAAAGAGTAGCGAAGTGAAGGAATAGAGAAATTGGAAAATAATTTATCTCTGTGTAGACATTTTTGTTTAAAGTATAGCTGAAAACTTGAGAAAAATTAGTCGATGTTCAGATCTGATAAGTCTGTGATTGTTTAAGATTAGACAACGTAAAACTTTACACAGAAAAAAGTGCGTCAAAGCTGCCACACTTTGAGATAGTAGGCACGAAGAAGTATCACATGGCGTCAACTCATCATTAAACTTGAAAGTAATCGAATCCATGCAAACCAACACTCGAAAACCTAGTAGAACGATCATTTTAATTTTATTTCTTTGCGTTCCTAGTGGAAGCTAGAGCTTTGAAGTTTCTGTAGCAGCGGTGTTTATTTTTAAGGGATGAAGTTGCTAGCCTCACGTCAAACCTTCTCTCTTTGTCAGGCTTAAAACCGGCTAAAAGAGGTAAAGTTGTGTGCCATCGAGGATCTTGTGCATGGTCCATCGAGGGAGAGGGCTCTCAAGTGGTTGCGCCACAAGATGATACTGCATTCTGGTCTCGTCTCTTAAGGGACAGCGTTCGGTTCTCCTGAAAACCAATACCCAGTCAATGGATGAAAATGTATGAAAGGGAGAACAATGAAGAGGGACTTATCCAGTTTATCTATACTTCCATAAGTGATTAACCTCAGTATTTATTGAAGTCGATGACCGATGTCATATTTATAAATTTGATCACCTTTAACTTATACCCTGTCCAATCGTATGTAAGATAACATTATTCGTTTACGAAGAGGATTGTCCATCATGTGTAACAAGTGTCCTGGCTAACTTTTGCA